CCAAAAYATCAGATTGCCCAATCCTTTTTTTTCTCTCCCCTTTCAAAGGAGAAACTTCTTTTTGGCAAAACACTCACTTCAGGTGTTTATTGAACACATGTGGTAAACTGTGATTTCTTCTCCAGCTGAGCCAGCAAGTTCTCTAGAGCACTTGAAACCTCCTTAACCAAAAGGCTGGGTACATGCTGGRGGCATGCAAGAAGTTAAAGCATATTTTCCTCATCCCAGAAAGTCCCCTTCCAATATTTTGAGAACTGGATACCACTATCTCATCCCCATAATGTTTTCTAGGCTGCATGTTAGCAACGGGATCAACGGGAAAAGCTTTACCTCACTATTCTGAACTGCAAGATGCACTTAAAAAACAAAAAAAAAAAAAAGGTTTGCAAGTATTAACAAGTAGCAATGAGTATGGAAAGGATTTCTGGGCACTACAGCTCCCTGTACAAGCCTCTGTGTGGCTGATGCTGTATYGGTTTTGCCCAGCAGGGATGCATGGACAGTTTAACCTTTCTACAAATGTTGTTAAAACAACAAACAGAGCCGAGGCGGTGGGTGAAGCCAATTTCCAAGAAGATGGTTAACCCATTCTCCACCTCCCAGAGAGGAAAACTGCCCTGTGCACAAGTGTGTGACACTTGGTTACCTCTCACCTGCTAAGAGTAGGGGTAAAGGTAAAAGTTCACTCCTTCCTGTGAGCTAAGGAGGTGTCAGCTGTGCTGTGCAAAGCACCTGTCCTGAAATAGCAGTGTAACATATGCACTGGAAAAGGGTGAAATCCATGCCCTGAATAAAGGCACCTCCTGCCTGTCAGACCACTGAGGGGAACACAGGTAAAGTCTTGAATCCTGATACCACCACTCCCCATCCCAAAAGAAGAAAGGATTGGTCTAAATGTACAAGAATTCCAGGATCCAGTACAAGATATCAGAAATATACTCTCCTTTCCTCATTCAGAGGGGACAATCACAACAAAATACTAAAAGCCTCAGATTTCTACAAGACAGAAAACTGAAGAGTGTTTTGAGGCAGCCACAAGCCCTGAACTGCTCCTCCACAAAGAGGGTAACACTGGCACCTGAAGGGCACCTGTTCCTGGCATAGCTTAGCGCAAGGAACAATCAGCAAGAAACAGTATTTGAAGCCAAGTTGGAAGCAGATTTGAGAGGTGYTTGAGAGGTGTTTTTGTTCAATATGTACAACTGTTCTGGGAAAAGCAAAATTACAGGAGGAGGGTTGGGTGGGGTGGGATATTCCCCTCTTTGACACAAGCTGTCACTGAATCAAAAGCCCACAGCAGGAACAGTGATGTGGGATTACAAAAAAGGGTGGAGGGGAATAGATATGCTTATGAGAGATAGTGGAATATTTCCTGCCACATGTTTATAAGAAAAGATTCTAGCTGTATTCAGAAAGCATGCAGCAAAAAATCCTCAGCCWTTAATCTGACCAGCTCAAGACATCMATTTCTTAAGAAAACATCACAATCCCACACATTCTAATATTCAGCTATCACTCCAAATCAGCAGTTTCCCAAATCAGTAAGTCACTAGAATCAGTTAAGCATCTTGCAGAAYCACATCAGAGCAGAGAGCAAGTTTCTTCAGCATTTGCAAAGACCTCGAGTGATCCAAACTGAGGTACTAATCAATTAATGACCCCCAGCTCTTGAAAACAAACCAATCAATTTTCCTTCYTCTGTCACAGGAATAACAACTGGTTTTTGCAGTGATACACAATGCCACTGCACTCAGTGAGCTCCACTCTGCTGCTTTAAAGCAAAAGCAGGAAGTCGGAACAGAAAATTCCTAGGGAGAAACTCTGCTGAGACACRGCAACTGGCAAACTCGTCCACACTTCCTGCTAAAATAATTCCTTGCCCAAATGAGACTTTTCCCTCCCCTCCAGCCCATTTTCTCTCTCTGCAGGTGTCCCCAAATACCTCGAGCAGCAGGRCAGTGTTGCTCCCCTCCGCTGGAGCCAGCAGTGTATTCCACAGCAAAAAGCTAGTGGAGAATGAGCACTGCCACTGTAAATAGAGGATCAGAGCCGGTCCAAGCCAGGAGGTGTGGTTTGCACTGCTCCCTACGCATCTCAGCCCCTTTCCAACACAGCCTAGTAGCCCTCAGTTCAGAAAGCAACACAAGAAAACCTGCCCTCAATCTTGCAAGCTAAATTCCTTGTAATCCTGCCTTGCTCGCAGCTGCAAGGAGAAGGGCTTGTTTCTGAGCTGCCTTAGGCAGGAGGAGAAGGGGCAAGAAAGGAGATGATCTCTCATCTCACATTGAACTCACTTTCCCTGAGAAACTCTAGCTGTGCTCGTACTTATCTTGCTGCCTACCCCCCATCCAATTTCAGCCAGGGAAGGGCTGGAAACCACCCCTGCCTCAAGTTTAATTCCACTTTTTATGAGGCAACTTGTTTCACAAAGAGAAGCACAATGAACTYAGGAAAAGAGAAAAGCAAAGTGTAAGGTGACAGGGCAAAGAGCCCTTTCCAAAGCATCACAAAACACACACCAAGGATGGGGTGCACATCCCAGGACTATCTCACTAAAGCAGSCAGAGATGCCACCCTCTATCCTGCCACTGAATCCAACAGCAATCCCCAAAAGGAAGCAAAGCCACCCCCGCCTGCTGACAGCTGGAGATGCTGATGGAGGTCTTGTGGCTCAGTGGCAGCTCCAGAGACTCCAGGCAGCATGAAGATGCTCTCAGCTGTGTCAGCTCCCACTAGCTAAGCCTGAGGTTTCCTCAGGAAAGGTGACAAAGAAAAGGGAAAAAAAAGAGTTGGGACCCTGGCAGGCTGGCTCTTCATCAACTGGTAAGCCCTTTTCTCACCCCTACCCCAAATGGCTCTTTGTGTCAGCCCTCAAGGGCAATATTTGCCCAGAAAACAAGCTTTGCCATAACAAGCCATGACCAGGAAAGCCTACTCTCTACAGAGAGGAAAAAGCCCTCTTCCACCAGTTCCTACTGAGAAGTCTCAGCTGGTATCTGAACAGCAAATACCTCATAAACCTGCAAAGACAGCACCTCCAAATAGCCACATTAGCCCAGCCACAAGCAAATGGGACCTGCAGAATGCAAAGGGTTCTTCCCAATTATTTTGAGACAGTTATTTCAAAACCCAGACTAAAAGCCTTCTACAAACCATCACAATTGTCTTTCCTACAGGTTTAACAAGGCCAGAGAGCTCCCCTGAGCCATCTGGGAGGGCTCTGTGCTAGCAGAGGGCAGTTCTGCTCCACTCAGGGCAGAATGAACACCTCCATTCTTCACAGGCTCAGCTTTGCCTCAGCTGCAGGACCCCAGATCTCTTGGGGCAGGCTGCAACAGTGGAGCTGTAGAAAAACAAAACAAAACAAAAACAACAAAAAAAAAACAAACCAAAAAAAACAAACAAAAAAAAAAAAACAAAAAAAAACCCAAAAAAACAAACCGGCCCCCAAGCAGGAGAGTTTACTCACCATTCTTAATGCTGACCCATGATCTTGGCTGGGATGTTACTAGAACAGCACAAAAAAGGGAGAAAACTGCTTTCCTGTATCTTGCACCCTGACCKGTCTCTAATCTCCTCCTGGGGTTCTTTATTAAGGTTCTCTTAGCACTGACCACAACAAAAGAGCTTATAAAACACAAAAAAAAATCTCCCAAATCCCCCCGCTTTGGGGGCACATTAATGAATCCTTAGTGTTACATGGATAAAGGTCAGGACATGCAAAAAGTTATGGTTCCCATAGTAATGCTAACTCAGCCACACTGCACACCCTGTGTATTTAGTGGTACACATKGAAAAGAAAAGGCTTCATCTACCAAGCTTAAAAGGTCTTCGATTCAGTAAAGACACTTGAAAATCACCCCTCACACTCATCATTTATTGTTCAGAGCAGTGGATTTTGAGATTGAATTGGATTAAGCCAGTCTCAGCATCACTACAGCTCCCCATATCTGGGGCAATAGTAAGAGCTCTCGAGCATGATTACAGACTGAACATGATTTGCCCAGCATGAACAGAGGAAAGGGATCCAGGCATCAGAGTGGCTTGAACCACCAAATCGCAGTCAGCACAGATTCTGCACTTGGATGCAGCAGGGACTTGGTAAGGAGAGAGGGGAGACAAAAACCAACCAGGTCCCCCACACCCATAACCAGTAGATGTTAATCCATTCCTATAAACACTCATTTATTTGGAACCAACAGCTTGAGATATCCTGCCCAGTATCCCGCCTCACAAATGGGGGAACAGGTGAACTACAGCCAYGGTGACCTTTCTCCAGCACAAATCTGTGTATTGCTCTGCTCTCCCAGCTCCRAGGACTTATCTTTGGGCTTTGCATAAAGCCCACACCACTCTTACAAGAGGGAACAGCCACAAGTGGTCCATTTGCATTTAGCAGTTTCGACWGAACAACCAGATTTGCATGGGAAGCAAAAAAGACTCTGTGCCATAGGAAATTCATTAAATCAAAGAGGTTTGAGCACCTCTACTGGAGCAGAGGATTACCCCTCTGGCTGAGTGCCTGGGAGAAAGGGAAGGTAGAGCAAGCACCTTGCAAACTCCTTAAAGAGGCAAAGAGGGTAAGGAAGAAGGAAGGTAGCTCTCAAGCACAGGAGCAAGTGTGCAACAGAAGAACTGTGTACGCTTGTGGGGCCACCAACATGTCCTGCTTGCCTCCAATAAATATGAATTTTTTTCCTAATTCCCATGTTTTCAGAGAGAAGGACAGCGTTCAGGACAACAAATACCTCAGAACTTCAAAGAAGGAGGAGGAGAGAGAACCACTGTTGCTGAAGAGGTTTTCCCACACAGGCCTGYTTGGAGAGCACCAAGCTGGTGGAGCTGTCACGGAGCACCACCCACACCACTGTCGGCAGCAGACCACAGACACAGGGACGTGAGGCAGAAGCCCTTCTGCCCACAGGATTACTGGTGGCTGTTCCTTCACTCACACCCCTCAGACAGGCCCTTGCTGCCACCATCCCTTGGGGTACACTCACCTTTCCTGCAGCACAAGTCTCCAGGTTTTAAAGCAGCTTTGCCACCCTCCCCGCAGCTGAAGAGCCTGGTTATTCCTCTGAGCTGCACAAATTCCAGTCAGCATCTAGCCACACCTGCCAAGGGTAACAAGGTTTTGGTCGTGCTTTATCTTATCTAAGCAATGATGACGCTTGTCTTTCTTCTTGGGCAAAGCTCAGTAGCTCAGCACCTGCTGAGGAGGGGAGCTGGGCAGAAGCCAGGAGCTTCAGCCTTCAGAAATTCTCTCCAGAGCAGGATGGCTCTGCTGGCCTGTCTGTCCCACCCCACGAAAATCGGGCATTTAGTCCACAAATTAGGGCTGTGAAGAAAATAAAGCTCAGCAATATTTACTTCTCATCTTCAGCTCAGGTGCTGTCACAGGGACACAGCTCACCTTCCCTAGGCACAGCCCCACTGGTCCTTGCCAACRGACAAAGCAATATTTTATAGGGAGTCAGACCACTTGTCTGGAGAGAAGACTTCAACATCTGTCATGCTGTCAACCTATAGATCACCTACCACTTCAGTTCCCAGCTGGACAATGAGGTTGGTTTCATCCTCTTCATTTTCCAGAGGGGAGAAGAGGAGAAACTGAGGCAGGTCAAAGTGTTGCACTCACAAATGTTATGCTCAATGAGATAGACAGGAATTCAGTTCTTGTAAGAGCAAGGGCCACCAAGTTCCTGTAAGATGTGTTAGGTCTGTCTCCCTGCACTTGCACCTCTGCCCAGCTCCCACCATGCTCAGCCAAGGCTTTACAGCTAGCCTGAAAGCCTGCTGTCTCCTTCTAATCCTTTTTGCAGAGGCTGGACTCACCTAGCTATATCCCAGCACAGCTGAAGTTTTCCCAAAAGGTTTGCTTTCCACAGSCTAAATGACATATTTAGACACTGCATCGTTTTATTTTTAACACAACACACAGCTACCAGTTCTACTCCTCGAAAGGTCTGCAGACATCCTGCCTGTTCCTCATTGGAAGAGCTTGAGGTAGGAAGCAACAAACAGATAGATATTGTTACCTTTATTGCACAGCTACAACAATTAGGCTTTTTTTCAAACCTTCACTGCGCTGCTTTACTTTTGTCCAGCACATGTGCTAAAGGCTAATTCTTTTAAAAAAAAAAAAACAAAAAAACTGTAGTATAGGTCTTAAGAGCCTTTATTCACAGTCTCATCTCTCCAGAAACACGGGTTGCCTCAGCCGATGATACCTCACCTGCTGTGAGCAGGGATAACTTTGCATCTGCCAGGATCTTACCAAAAACACMAGCTCAGTCCAGCCCCAAGCCCACACAGTGCTGGACCACCACAGGAAATCTCAGGAGGTTCACAGCTGCCAGGCACATTTTCAGAGATCTCCTGCCATCCCCAGAACACGAGCCTTTCCTGCAGGGCTTTCAGGTGTGTGTAATCCTCAGGCACCAGTCTGAACCAGACAGTCCCTTCCACCTAGATGGGGGAGTAACTGATGCAGAAAAGGATACCAAGTCTCGTACCAGCACAGAGATTGAAGCTACAGAAGCAGAGGCAAGAGCTCCTCCTTCAGATGACATCTCTGCTAAAWTAACTGCAGTCACTCACTTCACTAGATAGAAAGCAGGGACGTTACAAGCCTCCTTGCTCTCAGTCTTTTTACTTGACAGACTTTCCTCCAGTTATGCCAAGCAGATAAGAAYAGTGTAGCCTTCCAAAGCATTGCACCATACCTCATTTCCTCCAAAACAAACCTATGATTAAAGCCACAATTTCTAAGACCACAAAACAGTAATTTTTTTCCAGCTGTAGTGCTCTGTGACACACAGTTAAGAGAAAAGAACTTGGTTTAAAAGTCCACAGGATTCAAGACTCATTACCCCAACCTGAATGAAGCACAGAAAAGCCCACCACGGCTCCAGACTTCATTAGAGAGTCYACAGTACCACAACCCACCCACGACACACAACTGTTTTTGGTGGGGGTTTTTTTCTCCCAAAGCTCACAATAYTCATTTTTCCACTTGAGGCATCTAGGTCCTGCAGTCAGCTGAAATACTGAGATTCAAATGTTCTTGGCAGCTTATACAGACAGTCAGAAATCTCGAAGACAATCAGAAATCAGCTGCAGAAAGCAAATTAAGAACATGATTTAAAACAAAAACAAAGTTATGCCATTCCATGGGTTTTGGTTTTTGGGGTTTCTTTTTGTTTGCTTGGTTTTTTTTGTTTTTTTCTTCCTAATGTCTGGCCGATGGTATTTAAAAGTTTAGCATTGACAAGCCTTTTGAACATTTGGCCAGAGGAGATGTGCTCCTCACCACAGCAGAAGCACATGGGAATGCTTAGTAGATCCACCCCATTTCTCCTGGCACAGCTGCAGAGGTCAGTTTTGCTTTGCAAACTCTGCATTAAGGCCATGCAGGAGGAAATTCTTCTTGGCATCAGCCAAGAAATTAAAGGCTGAGGGTGCTGCATGAGGAAAAGACAACACTGCTAGAAAAATATTAGGAGGGTTAATGAGGACATCCACACTACCACCCTTTCAAGCTGTAGGTCTATGGATACTGCCAAGGATACACAGTGACAAAGGACAGACACTCTTACTAATTATTCCAATTCTGCTGCTCTGGTAGGACAACAAATRAATCATTAGAGATTCAGATGTACCAGTAAACCAAGTATTTTCACCTCAGACTTTTTATGGACAGCAAGCCAAGGCATCTGGCAGGAACGAGGGAGACGCTGCTCCACTCAGTGGAAGATGACACATTTGCTACAKCTGAAGTTTCTTGTCAGTGTTCTTAAATCCAAGATGAGCTCTTGCAAGCAGGAGGGAGGAGAGGAGGAAGGATTCAATCCCCAGGGCAGCTTTATGAAATAAAAAAGATTTAGACAGTGAGCAGCTGTGTTATGGAAACAGAGCCTAGTTTGCTGTACGTAAGGATCGATAACCTTAAAGCTCTCTGACCATGAAGAGCACTCTGCATGCAGCTGAGTCCATGTGATTTTTGTCGCTGTCAATTGTCCTCATCCCATTAATTTATTTTCTGAGGCTGCCTGGCAAAGCCATGAGGAACAGCAGTTCCCCAGCACTGTCTGTGTGCTGCTAAAGACAGCCCCACATGGAACTGTCCTTTGAAGCACCATCTTCAGATCACTAGACAGTAGGGTCTTGATTCATCCCATGCATCAAACTGGGGTGTGGGGGAGAAATTTTTCTATCTGATGGTGACAAAATCACCCAGCAGGCTTTCCAGTTGGACAGTTCATACTAACCACTGTAACCTGCCACAAGAAGCCAAGAGAAGAGCGATGCTACAAGGAATAAGAATATTGTTTGCCCAACAATGTAGTTTCAGAGAYATTTTATACCATCTTATGAAGGATTCTAAAATTTTATGTCTCAGGCCACACATCAGTCTYTGTGGAGCAGGGTGTCCTGGCAAAGTGAGGATTCTTCCATCCCAGCTCACTGTAGCTTTTCAGAACCTCCTCTGAATAGGCCAGTGAAAAAACAGACTAAACTGATTATCTGTTKGATCTAGAAAAGCAATTTCCATAGCCATCAGGAGATGTGTGTATGTATGTATAGATAGATATATATTCATCTACATATAATTATGTATAATCGACATATATATAATCTATATCTACATATAATTACTAATACGATCCTCAGAAACAAATGTAGCTCTAGAACATGAAAAGATACATTTGCCCTGAGCCTTCCTAAGACAAAGCCACAAACTAAGGTATTCTAAGCACCCCTTGATGCAGAACAGCCATCTTGTCCATCAGAATAACCAAGAACTCAACAGATCACGACTAAGCAAGCAAGCTATGTTTGGATTACCCTGCCTCCTCAGGATATTCCTGTGTCTGAGGCTGGCCTCTTTTCCCTTCAGCTGTTTTCAGGAAGTCCTACAGGAAGGGCTTAGGTTCAACACACAAGTTCACCCAAGTGCATCCCATGCRCACAAGATATTAAAGAGGCCACAGCCTTAGGAGAGGGAAAGCTGTGGTATATTTTTCCTTCCAGAGGAGAAGCACCATCAACGCAGATGCCATAGGAACCTGCAGCATCCTAAGGTGGCGCAGTGCAGTGTCATCTGCACTTGGACCATGGCAAGAAAGGATATTCCCTGAATAAAGAATRTTGAAGAAAGTAAAAGAGAAAATCACAAGGTCTCTGCTCAGGTCCAACACGCAAGACCAAAGTTCCGTGACCTCATATCAAAGGAGCCTGCAGACGTCACAGCGACAGAGGAGAAGAGAAGGCGAAAGAGGCAGCAGCTCCCCAGCCCGGACCCCAGCAGGGCAGCATTCCCGACCCCAGCAGGGCAGCATTCCCGACCCCAGCAGGGCAGCATTCCCCACCCCGTGGCAAGGCCGCAGCTGCGCCTCAGGAGCGCTGCGGGCTGGGGAAGGCAGCGTTGCACAGGAACGCGGATGCTCCGAACCCGTCCGTCCCCGGCGAGGGACTCCGACAGCTGGGGACGAGGCCGGTGTGCGGCTGTGGCCAGGGAGAACCCCGCAGTACACAGGGCCCTACAGCCCCTCAGGGAGGTGCGGGGGAGGTGAGGGTGCAGGTGCCGGCGGGGCCCTTCGCTGGGGCAGCCGCTCCCCAACACCTCGGCTGCGGATCCCGGCCGGGCAGAGCCGGCAGCCGCCCCGGGGAAGGCACCTGCACCCGGGGCACCGCGCCCTCGCCCGCCGCTGCCGGCCCGGAGCCCTCACGGCGCTTACCTGGCCCGGCGCGGCGGGAGCGAGCGGCAGCTGCGGCCGCTCTGGAGGGAGCGGAGTCACCGCTGGCGCCGGGGCAGCCCCGGCCGGAAACGAGCGGGGCCGCGGGCGGGCGGCCGGGCCGAACCTGCCTAGCGCCGGCAGCGAGAGCCGGGCCTGGCCCCTCCTGCCCCTCGGGATAAGCGGCACTGCCCCCGCCCCGAGCCCCAGCACCCTCGCCCGCCGCTGCCGGCCCGGAGCCCTCACGGCGCTTACCTGGCCCGGCGCGGCGGGAGCGAGCGGCAGCTGCGGCCGCCCTGGCGGGAGCGGAGCCACCGCTGGCGCCGGGGCAGCCCCGGCCGGAAACGAGCGGGGCCGCGGGCGGGCGGCCGGGCCGAACCTGCCTAGCGCCGGCAGCGAGAGCCGGGCCTGGCCCCTCCTGCCCCTCGGGATAAGCGGCACTGCCCCCGCCCCGAGCCCCAGCACCCCCGAGGGACGGCAGAGCCGCGCACCGGCCCCGCTCGCGGCCACTCCCCCCCGGCAGAGCCGCAGGCAGCGCCCGGGCGGCTTTATGGAAGAAGGATCATTTCCCCGATCAACAGCACCGGAGGCTTTGTTATTTTGCATTCACTAGAGGTAAAAAAAGCTGTTTACTTTACCAGCAGCATGCTATAATGCTAATTACGGCACTTGTCCCCGTCACGTGACAGCACTTAACAAAGTCTCTTCCTAAAGTTTTCGGCTGTCAAAAGCCTGGACAGAGAGAAGCCCGAGCCCTGCAGATTCCACCAGACACGCAGAGCGCCGAACCCCAGCCTGTGTGGGGCTCTTGTCGCTGCTCCGGGGGATCCCAGCTGCGCAGCCCGGCCGCGGCTCCAGACTGGCCATGCCCAGATCCCTGGGCTGGCACCAAGGAAAGCCCCGGTTTTCCCACTGCCCAGGCACCAAGGAAAGCCCCGGCTTTCCCACAGCCCAAGGGCCGGCGGTTTCCATGTGCTCCAGCTGGACAGTAACCGGGGCAGACCTCGGTGTGTGTCAGAATAAGCAGACACACAACAGCGGTCCCACCTATTTCACCAGCTGGGAAACACAGCCTCTAGACACAGGGGTCAGACTCCTTAGGAGGTGGTCCGGTGCGGGAGAACTTTCACATTTGTGAACAATTTTTTACTAACCCTTTGACAGCTGCCAAACATCTGCTATTCCCACAAGAGGGCGCTGAATTCCTCCCGGAAAGTCGGGTTTACCACAAAGCTCCAATAAACAGGCTAATAGTATTTGGGGCATTTTGGCTTGAGTGATTCTGTACTGGACCAAAATGCACCCTTTTTCCACCTCTAGGTTATTGCCCCCTTTATTTTGTACTGATAGATGTTTAGCCTGAGAGGAATTTGAATGGGCTTGGGCCTAGCAAAACAAACCTACATCATACAGCACATCCAAAAAAAATTTAATAAACCTTTAAACACCAAGACAAGCAGCCTACCACAGCCAGGTAAATATATTGAGAAAGTTTTTATTAGAAGATATATTTCTGCCAAAATAAATAGTTACATTTTCTTCAGCAAAACATTAGAAAATAGAAACAAGAGGAAAAAAAAAGCATCAACAATTTAATACTGAACTTTTAAAGTGACTGTGAACACTACTTAGTGATATTGCCATGTAAATACGCAACTYGTGTATGCTATTGCTGGTCTAGTTGCTGCTCTGACACCAGTAATTTCCACAGGATCTCCACATGTGYTGTGTGCTTAAGGGTCTTCTCAAACTCAGGGGCAGCAGTGGAGTCCCAGGACACATGCAGCTCGAAGAGCTGCTTTACATGCTGTTTTCAAGAACAAGAGAAACCCCAGAAAAAAAAGAGGTATTTATTTCAAAATTACATTTCAAAGTCTTCCGTTTAGAATTAGTTTCCTGCTCCCTATGCAGGAGGGCTGATGTGGATCCACAGAGTGAGATGGATGCAGTTAGAGCTGTCCTAGTGGAGCTGCCTGCAGGTTGGAAAAGGAGCAATGTCCCACCAGTGTAGGCAGAGGAGGGAGAGGAGAGGGGAGCAAGTGCTGCTGCACTCAGAAAGGCAGACACTGCAGGGACAGACAGGCCAGAGCCCATTGTAAAGGCACAGTGTGTGTTTGGCACAAACAAGCTGGCTGATGTGGCAGCCAGAGGAGGTGGCCCATTCTCACTGATTTAAGAAGATGGAAACAAAGCTTGAGAAGGCTGTTGGCAAGGCCATCTGACTTTGGCCACCCACCACATCTGGCATATGCTTAGTAGAAATGGGCCCCCCTGCCAAGGCAAAAATACAGAGATTTTCAGGTATTTCTCCCACAACCACTTTGGCAAAAGTGAGATTTCTTTTCCCCAAGGAAGTAGTGAATTATTAGATAATTTTTAAAAATTAGTAAAACCACTGGGGAATATATAAAAGTACTAGGGACACCCCAGTGCTGGCAGACAGCAGACTCTCTTTTTTTCTCTCTGGTCTGAGTGTTGCAGGTACAGAGCCTGCCAAGAAGCCATGAGAAAACAATTCCTAGGTCCTGTACATAGTGGTCAGTATTTTCTCCTGTCCCTTGAAAATCAGCTTGCAACAGTGTTAGCAGTGGGGCAGGCAGCAAACCAAACCAATTACACTACACTACTCGTGGGTTACAGAGCATGCCATAGGCATGGACTGTTGTACACAAAACAACTCTACAGTGTTGTACMGGTTAGGGGCTGGTTACATGCACAGCAAGGTCACCACTAGCCTTGTTAAAAGTAATAACACTGGAAGGAAGAAAAAGAAGTGGATTCCTGAATGCACACACCCTTTATGTGAAACAGTGGAAATGGCAAAGGTTGGGACTCCTGCAGGAATCCAGTGAATGCTATAAGGACCATTAGATGTGGACTGCAAGATGAATTTTTGTCCAGGAACCTCTCACTCACCACACACTGGAGAGCAGACAGGCCCTGGCAACTGCCTGCTGGGCTGCCCAGCCACCCATTTTGCTGAAGAAGGGACAGAYTGCACAGACGACCTTGCTCCTATGGACTATGAAGTGAAGGTTAATCAGCAATGGCTGCCCAGAAGGTAACTTTGCACACCATGAGGTACACACAAAACAAAAGGTAGAACAGTTCCAGTGAGCACTATCACAATAAACCCCTCCATATCCAGTTCAGAGYCTATCACAAGGTTTCCAGTGATTTCAAGAGTGGAGTCTCATCTAGACAAGGCAGTACTGCATAACAAAAAGCTATTCACAAGCTGACACAGCCCTTTTTCTGCATCAGTGGGAAAGGTGATCTTCCTAATTCCTTCTTCCTTTGCAATCTGTGATGATTGAGCAGCAAGAATTTCAAGCAAATGGATGAAACTTTTCAAAAGAAAGATKAGGGTAGTTTGAGGTATTTTTGACAGATCTGCAGTTCCTTTATCAGAGCTCAAATCCATAAAGCCAGTGAGCTGTCGCATAATAGCCAATGTATCACTTGGGGAAGAAAAACAGGCAAAGAAAGGGTTAATACAGAGTGGTGTTTCCGCATTATCCTGGGGAACGCAAATTAACATAGAAAAACAAACTTCCTCAATAAAGAGCTGTACCTTTATTTTTAAAGCCAGGCTTTGATTTGTGGTTATAGTTTGAAGTGTAGAGAAGTTTCTCTTTGAGAAGTTAATGTAATAAATTAAACTACAAATGAGGTGAAACACAGAACAAAACTCAGTCCTTTTACCAGGCATAGCTGCTGGTCTCTTGAAATGCATGAACCACAATCCCCAAGCCTTCTGGATCAGAGCACTGGAAGACAGTGGCATCAGCCCAGTCAGCACCAGACCAGTCAGTTCTGATGCAAAAGGCAAGGGATAAGGGTGCCAAGCTGCAACTTCTTAGCACACTCTGTTGCCAAGAGTATTTTGCTTCATAGTTTAGTGGTTTACATAATCAGTCAGTGGTTTTACTAGTCCAGGAAGAAGGGATAAAAAATAAGTGGAGAAAATAATTCAACTATATATTAACTAAAAAAAAAAAAAAAAAAAAAAAAAA